TGTAATTTTAGTAAATATATCTGTTAAAATGAGATGTTGGCATTATTTTCATTGTTGTGTAATTTACAGTACAATTAATCCATCTATATACAAATGAGAACATATATACAATGGTTGCAATCAACCGTGAAAACTTTACTATGGTACTTGATTGATACCTACAGAGATATAAAATCAGTTATAGACATTATGCAGAATATGAATGGAAATTTAATTCCAATTTGCCTAAAAGACAGTAAGGCTTGTTTATAACTGAATGTCACTCTCAGATACTTTTTATTACCAAAAAAATCTGTATCCTTTGCAAATAACGAATACATATATATATATATATATATATATATATATATATATATATATATATATATATACTGAGGTCAACACCAAACAGCAAGTGTTTGTTTCATACTTCAACACAATCATCAAGCAATGTGTGTTCATACACACTGTCTCTGATATTGAGGACTTTACCCATAAATCTAGCACTAAGTAATGTTTTATTTGTATTAATATATATATATATATATATATATATATATAATTTTGGGAATGGATTCTTATTAATCCTGCAGATTAGTATTATTTTAAATGTTATTTTTAGTTGATACTTGTATTTACCTATTAAACAGTACATTTATTTATTTTCATCTACTGGCCTGAATATTTAAGAAATCTTATTAAAGAAATTTGAACCCTTTGGAAGGAATCAAACCTGCATCTCTCAGGGAAGAGGGAACCAAGTGATACAAATTATATATATATATATATATATATATATATATATAGAGAGAGAGAGGGGGGGGGAGATATACATATATATATATATAGGAGGGAGTGCTATAAAGCTGTTCTTTTAAATAGGGATTCAAAAATATTCAGACAGAGAAACATTATTGGAACCAAGATATTTTGGCCTCACCTTATAATTTATGATGTATTCTTTCTTAAAAAGAAGATAAAGGAAATTCATAGAAAATACTTAAGATACTAGCTTATATATATTTGAGTATATGCAGGACTCTATATATATGTAAATATCTTAAGGATAATTTATTTTGTACATCAAGTTTGCCATTAACTTGGGCAAAATATGGCTTGTTAATTTCAACAACTCAAAAACTAAACCTCTCTCCATTAACCATCTGAGAGAACCTTCTCTGCCTTCCATCAGCATGGCTGATGCTAACCTCCAGGAAAGTGATTCATTGCACCTTCTCTGGCTAATCTTCTCAGGTGACATGAAATGGAAAGACTATATTGAATCCATTGCTAGGTCAATTGCTAAGAAAGTCATTTTATTCTGTTATGCTACACAATCTTTCTCTCTGGAATCTATCTTATATATCTATGAGTCTACCATTCATCCATGCTTAAAATATTGCTACCATATATAATCTGGTGTTCCTGCTATTTACCTTGAGGTCCTTGATATGATCCAAAAAAGAATCAGCAATATTATTGGTCCTGATCTGGAGGCTTGAACTCAGTCACTTACTCATCACCATAAGATTGCATCTCTTTGCCTTTTTTTATAAATACTTTTATGGTAATTATTCGGCTGAGCTCTTCACTATGGTTCCTAGACTTTATGATTTTAAGTGCAGTACTAGACTGCATTTTAGTGGCAGTAAGCCTTGCTTAGAGTGATACCAATTTAAAAAAAATAACACCTGTCTCATGTGAAAAAAGTATTATGTCAAATGCATTGAAAAAATAACAAACTGCTTTTCTATTTTAACTGTTTCAAGAGTTTTATTTTCTCATCATCCCTCTTTTTTAATATTTTAGAAGCAACTAATTCTTGGATTTGGTTATGTTTGGTTACTTAAGCAGAATATGATAATAGCAATTTAACTAAAATAACTTTTTCTATAAAGATGATTATTCATTATTTTAAAATACTCCCAAAATTCCCCCCATAAGATATGAATAAATACAACAGTTATCAAATTTGAGTGATAGAAAACAGGAGCTGATAATTCAGTATAGAACAAGCATAGTTAACTAATTAACAATGTTAACAAACAAAATTAGTTATGAATTATGAAATTTTAAAACTAACACCAGAATCACACTTAGAAAATATCCTTGGCAAAAGTATGTATTTCTAAATATCTACTTTTATCAATGCACACATGTAGTGTCCACTCTAAACTTAGCAAAAGATAGATGCACAAAATCTGTATGTATATAATTAGACAAGTGTGTTTTTTTATTTTTCATTGTCAGTCATGTCTGTAATTGCTGTACACAACTGTCACTCTTGTACTGATGGCATTAGGTAATGCTGTCTTTCTGATAACAAAGTTAAACTCTTAAAAGAATTCAAGAATTGAAAAGACCAGCTCTGTGAAACAATAATTTAAAACATGATTTTTTTGTAACAAAATACATCATCATTTCTTATGGAATGGGTAAACTTGTAAGAATATAAAAATTTTTGTAAACAAAAATGGATTGGTAAACTATGCCTATAGAACAGATTTAGAAAAATTATACAAAAATGAATTTATAAATTATGGATTTTAAGGAATACGATAAGCCATAAACATGTATAAAAAAAACTATGGTAGTGCAATAGATTTTTGTAAACAGGACACTTTTAAGTTACCATATCAGATTTTATTATGTAAGTTAATATTTTCACAATAAAACTGATATTTATCAATCAATGTTGGTAAAATTTTAAGGATATCCTTATATTCATATAATAGTAAATTATGACTTAAAATAACAATTTTTATTAGAAATATTTACTATAATTTATTTGTTGGTGTGAGATTTTATTTTGAAGATCAAAGTTGACTGTGAAGCAAGAAGCCAGAAGAGAGGTTCATAAGTGAGAAGTGCTATAGAAAAAACTGTTAGCATAGAACTAGATGTAACCATAAGTTCTATGCTAACAGTTCCTTCTCTCACACTTCTTACTTGTGGAACTCTCTTCTGGCTTCTTTCTTCACAGTCAACTTTGATTTTCAAAAATTTAAATTCAATGTCAATCATAACTTCTGTCTTCTTAATTCCTGTTCTTTTATTGTTCTTTCTCCTCAAGAGTATTTTCTCATATTCTCTAACACTCAGTAACAACTTGCATCTTAGTGGATTTATTTCCATACTTGAGGTGAAATGATTAAAAACAAAATTGTTCATGACACTGTAAATAAATATTTATAATAGTATAATCATTTATATTTATTTTTTTTATTTCAGATATATAAAGATTCACATGGATCAGAAGAAAGAGAAATAAGATATTGTAAGATCATTAGCACAATGACAGAAACCATGAAAAGCTAAACAGAGATAATAGAACAATCAAGAAAAAAATTGGAAACATTCAAAAGATAAGAGAAAAAGAAAAAAAGAGGTTTTTTTTTAAATTAAAAGGGTAATAAAATAAAATTAAAAAGCAAGAAAAGTGGATTAACCTGCAAGAAAATATTTGAGAAGCTTGTGTTGCAATTGTAAACAGAGAAATGATGATATATATTAAGAACATTGGCTAAAGATATGGAACAAATGAAACTACCGTCGAAACATCAGCAAGAGAAATATGTCAGTTGGTTAAAGAAGTGCATGAAATCTGATTTCTTAATAATAATTTTTAGTGATGAATGTAAAGCTTCATTGGATAGACTTGGAGTGTGGGTCTTTCAAGAAAATAATCAACAAACATGATTTAGAGGACAATGGGAAAGGGATGAAGTAATGATTTGGGCCAGTATTATTGCCAATAAAGCTCTAGGTCCCTTGCAAGTTGATGATGATATCAAGAGAAATGTAGGGAATTATTGTAAACACTTGGACATGACATTTTCCGATTGGTGCCAGTTATAAACAATAAGCTAAAGAATATATTCATACAAGATTATGCTCTTTCAAATTCTGCAAATCTATTTCCCATCTTGTAAAAAGGTTTCAAAGACATCAAAATAATGGAATTTCCACCAACAATTTCAGATATTAATTCAGTAGAATAATTGGGGTCTCTCATTACAAAAGATGTATATGAAAATGGAAAACTATATCCAAGCAAAGAAGACCTCTGGGAAACAATGAAAACTGCTGCAATTAATGTTAAAGTTGAAACAGTAAAAAATTTAAAAAATCAATAGACAAAACACTGATGAAGATTATAGAATATCAAGGAATCTGTATTAACATGTGAAACAGCAAAATATTTTATTTAGGCATATGATATATTTTTTTAATCAAATATATATTTTTATGGCCCATAAGTTTTAGATTTATTTATAAATTATGTTGAAATTTGTATAATAAAGCTTAACATGAATCAAAACAAATTATCACTATTTATAATAAGGATATATATTTTAAGATGAAAGTCACATAATGTATTGCTCATATACTCTGAAATCTTACCAACATCAGTTTTTTAATACTAATTTAATACTAATTTTATTGTGAAATGACTTGTATAATAAAATCATAACAGAGAAATAGGAGAAAGATATAAAAAATCAAAGAATTAAGAATTTGCTATTGTCCCTGAAATGTGTAATCATGTTTGGTTTTCATTTTCAATTATGTATATGTTAGTTATTGTAAGTGTATTTGTTTTAAAGTTTATATGTGTATGTGTGTTTACGTGTTATAGTGTTTGTGCATATGAGAAAATAAGTTGTGCTTGTTTAGATAATTACAAGCATGTGTTTGTATGTGTATTAATGAATGTATATTGCTAATTTTTGTTGGTGTGTATGTACTGCATTCTCCTAGCATAAAATTGTTCGGAAGTTTATAAATTAAGATGCATTTTATTTGAGACAAGTGAAAAAATATTAAATGTAATTAAGTCTTAAAAAGCAGACAACATTCACCAAAAAAGAAATAAATAAAAAAAAATTGTTAGGAAAATAGAAAAGCAGAGAAAGCTTGTTTCTCTGGTTTTGGTCTATGTTAGATTACATCTGAAATCCTTTGTCTTGTATCTCCCAGTCCCTAATTTTTCCCCTTCATCTCTCTCTCTCTCTCTCTTTCTAAGTATTTCTGCATATGCATTTGACATGAATTGTACAATTCTGTATGGTCAGTTGATAGTTTAATAGATGAAATATCCTTGGAAGCAAAAATGAAAAATAAATTTGACATAAAATATCCAAATGTCTTAAGTGTAAAAAAGGAAAATATTGAAATGAAGAAAAAAATGAATAAAAAGGAAAGAAAAATAGAGGAAAGACATGAAGAAGAAATGAAAGGTGGAAGAAGAGCAGCAAGGAGAAGACAGAAATAAAAGAAAAGGTAAAAAGAAATAGTGAGAAGAGGAAGAAAAACAAAGAATAAGGAGTAGAAGAGAAGCCAGGAAGAAGTGGGAGGTGGAAGAAAAGAAGCAAAAAGAAAACTGGAATATGAGAAAAGGTAAAAAAATAGTGAGAAGAGGAAGAAAAACAATGCAGAGGAAGTAGGCAGGAACACAAGAGGAAGAAGTGAGTGGGGGAGGAAAAGCATGAAGAAAACAGGAATAAGAGAAAAATCATAGGAGGAAGAAAAATAAGGTTAGTGTAGGAGGAAAAATAGGAAAAAAAAAGGGGAGAAAAAAAAGAAAAACAAGAAGATGTGACAGTTGAAGGGATGATGGGAATAAAAAGCAAGAAATAAGAAGAGGAGGAAAGACAGAGGAGAAAGAAAGACAAATACAAAAGTAAAGAACAGCCAGACAAGTAAAATGAGCTTTTGAAAAAGATAGAAACAGAAATACAAGAGAGAGAAGGAAAATAAAAAGAAAGATAAAAGAAGGAAAGAAACAAAAGATCAAATGAGGAAACAGAAAATGTAAAGACAGAACAAAGTATGTTATTGTTGTTCATGATGATGATGATGGTGGTGGTGGTGGTGGTGGTGGAGATAGTAAATGATTGTAAATTTGAAGTTTCCCACCAGAATTTAAAATTCCTTCTCTGTTTTTTTAATTGAAATACATTTTTTTTCTTTAAATATGGGATCAGGAGTAGGAGGGGGCAGAGAAATAATTATCCAGACTTTAGTAACCTAAACAGTCCTTCTGCAGAAGAAAAGAGGATTTCATTTTAGCAATAAACTTTTTATCCCCCTCAGTCTTCTTCACCCAGAAAATTTCACTTTTATTTTTCCCTCCCATCCCATTGGACCTTCCCTGAGTGGCACTCTCAATTGGAGTCTAGGGGTCACTGAGCAGAACACCTGGCTTGCATTTGATAATTCATTTCACAATTACAACCCATGTTATCTCTGATGAAAATATAATTTGCATCTCCAAAAAGAAGAGAAGTGCTAAAACAGGAATAGAGAGTAGAAAAAAAAGGAAGACCAATGAGTGAAAAAAAAAAAGAGGATAAAACTCTGAGGTGGATTTCTGTCTTGGTACCACCCCCTTTCTTTTCCCCTGCTTTCTTTGGTACAAAGTGTGCCTTCATTTAACATGCTTCACCTCCATATTTCTTTGATATAACTGAGATGCACAATTAAGTTCATTTTGTTTCAGCAAGGTAATCTTGTGCAGTTTGGGTTGCAAAAAATATAAAAAAAATTATTTAATGATAGACAAAAAAGTGGTTCAACTTTAAAGCAAATTTATCGAGATCCATATGTAAACTGTTTTGTTCTTGCTTATTGCTGTAAGTAAATATACTTATTAATTATATATAAATCCTTTTATATATTAATATATATCCATTATTAGTTCTTATGATTGCAACTAATATACAATATTATTTTTATTAATAATGCAGGTAATTATTAAGATTAAAACTGTTATTATTGATTAAATATTCATCATTATTATATATCAAGACAACCTTCATGGAATATTGAACTGAATTTTTTTATTTCATCTAGAGGACTAGTTTGTTTTCATTCCACTGTCTTTCTTGTTCTTATTTAGTACTGCAGGTCATTATTTGTTGTTTTTTTTTCACAATGAGTCTACCCATCCTAGGGACTGAACTTGCAATTACTCTGCCACCAAATTCATACGTAAAAACCAATCATATCATATCATATGTAAAACCAAAGTATATTAGTCTGCACATAAATTCTTTTGAAAAATAATCCAATTTAATTTAACAGAAATTAAAACTATTCGGTTGCCCACTGGCTTACAAAGGTAAAAACATTTAAACTGAGCTTAGCACCTGTATTAATCTACTTGTAAAATTTTATTAAAAATAATCCTTTCCAGGATTGGGAATATTTCATTACCTAGGATTAAAAAGAAAGAATAGAATATGATTGGATAAAAAAAAAATGCCTGAGTTTTAGAAAGCATTTAAACTGGCCTATAGATAACATTTAACAAAAAATTACGTTTAATTAACTAAATTAATTCACATTGCATTTGATATTCTATAAATCTTTTTCTTTTTTCGAACAAACACTCAATATGGCTGACATGGAAATTTTTCTTCTCACAGAAATTATTCTTCAAGTTAACATAAATGGAATTTGTGTTTCTTTTATGCTGAGTTACCATTTCTTCACTTTGGAAATTAATGATGAAATATTTTCCTTTTGTTAATTAAAAACTTAAGCCTCTCATGCATATTCATAGAGATAGGTAACATGTTCTGTCATATTTTTCATTTAATATGACAAACCAATGATTTCTGTTATGACATTCAAAGTGCAATCCAAAGTTATATATACACTTATGTGCATAAGACAGAATAAGATCAATAATTTATTAGTTGAATTTTGATCTGAAGTTTTTTCTATATAATGTTTAAACTATATGATAAAGAGGCATTAGATTAAGTGCATTGACAAGAAAGGAGATTATGTTAAAAATAAATATTTGATGCGTAAATTAAAACCTTTTTGTTTTATTAGGCTAAGGATATTGTGCCTTATGTAAATATTTTCTGCATTTAAATTAGTTTAATTCAAATCTACAGTAGTATGAGGACTCTTACTTATCACTGAAATTGTGACACTAGTGAATGTTCTGTGGGTTTAACATAATAACCATTGCTCAACAAGTGACTTCTTGTGAGCACACGCGCACACACACACACACACACACACACGTGTGTGTATATATGATAGACTCTGTTATTGTCTTCAACGTATCAAGTTACAGTACGACAGTTCTTTTCACTGAATAGCCAGACTAACCATACCTATTATTTGAATATAGCGATGAAGGTTTCTGCAGAACCAGCCACACTTTTTAAAAGAACTGAATATAGGCAAATGGTACACATTGATCCCCCAAAATCCTTTTTTAGGTTTTGAATTCAGAATTGTCCTCCTAGACTGGTAACAAACTAAGGCTAAAGGGAACAGTTTGACCTTCTATTTAACTTATAGATGGAGGGAGAAGAGAATGATTCATACCTTTTTCAAAGGTATTTTACATAAAAGTGAATGTAATGAACTGGAATTCAGACATGGCTCACAAATCTCTCATATTGCTGACCATTACATCACCTGCAGTTCCATATAAATAAATAGTGTCAGTATTTTCTGCTTGGTGAAAGTGTTAGCTGTCAAATTGTCTCATGTATTATTTGTATTAGCTCTCCTTTAGATGAAAGTGTCATATATCAATTAGCCCTTGTGTATTTGTATTAGTCTTTTCCTATTGGTGAAAGTGTCACCTACCAATTAGCCCTTGTGTTTATTTGAATTAAACCTCCTATTATCACTTCAAGCTAGAAGCTATTTCAGTGAACAGAAAGTTTGCCATTAAGTTAATCTCAGAGTTCAACAGATCAGCTTCCACTGTTGAGTGGATAGAAAAGGTTGAACAGATGTGCAACTTTTATGGGGGTCAAGCAAGTTGAACGAGTTTTCTCACTTTGACTTACCAGTGGAGCCTTCTCAAATGGTATTAAATGTACACACAGAACATGTTACTTTTAGCTGCTAATGCACACACACACACACACACACACACATATATACTTATAAAATGTTGACAGGAATTAACACTGCATTGTCAGTTTCATGCATCAAGTGATCTTTAGACTACTTCCTCTATAAATATAGTAAATTTTAAACAATATATATATATATATATATATATATATATATATATATATTTACATTATTACTATAAATGTTATTTTTTGTGGGTACACATATTTGAGTTGCTACCCCTGTTTTTTATTTTCTTAAACAGTGAAATTAATAACAACTGGCTGAAATTGAGAAGTCCTACAAAAGAAAAATTGTGCCTTCAACAGGAATCGAACCCATATTACTTTTTTCATATGGGAAACTACAGCAGGAGCATGCTTCTACCCGTTTGGCCATTGGAAACTATCTTGATGGAGAGCAAGATTTCAATTACCTAATTTAGGGATGCACATCTCTCTATATCTGCTAGCTTCATTTTCATGTTTTAAGCAGATATAAATTCGTAGATATCCCCAAAATCAATGTGAATTCATTAAATAGGTAATTCAAAATTTAATTCATTTTTATCTCTCTTTTTAGTCTTGACAGTCATATTTCCTCTTTTTTTAGGTTCTCATGTTGATTTTGCACTATTTTTCTTTTTTATTTCTATTTTTGTTTGTTTTCCAGTCATCTCTTCTGATTAATTAATTATATGTATTTTCAATTTCAATTACAGTTTTTTGAAAAGTGTATTCATAATAGTCATTTTGTATCCTTTCTTTCCCCTACTTTTGCTTTGAAGCCATCTATTGAAATCATGACATTTGTTTTGTTTCAATCTATAATGTTACTGATGTCATCATAAAATTCTTCAATTTCCTTGTGTGAAATTTATGAAGTTGGTGCATACACATGGATTATTTTTCATATAACTCTTCTGCATAATCTGACTAATCTATAAGTTACTCTGCCTGATATACTGTCCAAATTTCTTACATTGTTTACAATATCACAAATAAGTAAAACTCTTATAATACTAACTTGTTATTCTCCATTACCTTATAATAAAGTAGATGATTATTTTCTGCTGTATAATGTTAAATTTATAAGGTTAATATTATCTACTGAATTAAGTGCATTGACAAAGAAAAAATTATGTTGAAAAATAAATATTTTTTTCTGTTAAATAAATACTTTTTCATTATTAGATATATATATATATATATATATATATATATATATATATATATATATATATATATATATATATATATATATATTCTATACATCCCACCTTTTAACCAGATTAAATCAATGCATTCATTCATTATGTAGTTATTAAAAGCATTTAATCACAAAAGCACAAAGCATTTTCACCTGTTGGCCTCAATTTTAGAGATTATATCTATCTCTATATCACACTTGAAACTAATTGAATAATACAATAAATAGAAATATGATATGATGCATAAAAGCTTTGGCTCAAATTCAAGATGGTTGGAAGGTAATGAATTCGATTCCAAATACACAAATGAAACATGCAACATACTGCTAGGAAATGAAAATACAAAATATGCATATGTGTGTGTTGGGGGGGAGATTTGTTAATTTATGTATACTCACATTCATAAAGATATATAACAAATATATAGTTTAATGGGTATAAACATACACACACACATATATTTTTAAGGTATGCTATATTTATGGTTAAAAGTGCTCAGTATCAGAGATTGAGCATATGAAAATGTAAAACTGGACAGTGAGGTCAAAACCAAATGGAGACAGTATGTTACATGCTTGAAAACAATCTTCAGGCCATGTGTGTTGTATTTTGAAACAGATTGTCACTGTTTGGTGTTCACCACATTGTCCACTTTTTTATATTTACTTACACACACACACACACACACACACACACACACACACACACACACACATACATATATATATATATATATATATATATATATATATGTGTGTGTGTGTG